TGCCATGTCCCCACCACCGCCACCTGGCACCTTTTCATCTCTTAAATCTATTAAGCTTTGGGGTTGTGGTAAAATAAAAAAGTTCATCCCGTCTTGGAAGTTGGTAGGGTATCTCCAAAGTCTTGAGTGGATTGATGCCCAGAATTGTGAAGAATTGGAAGAAATAATAGCATCAGATCCAGAAGAAGGAGGGGACATCATCAACAAGCTCATTCTTCCTAAATTAAAACTTCTGTGGTTGCACAAGTTGCCCGCATTGAAGAGCGTCTGTAGCAGGAGTGCAGTAATGGTATGTGATTCTCTTGAATCTATTACCATTTGGAATTGCGAGGGCCTAAGGAGGATCCCTCTTTTTCTTCCCTTGGTTGATAATGCCCAACCATCTCCTCCTCCTTCTCTCAAAAATATCACCCTATTTCCACCAGAACGGTGGGAATCATTGGAGTGGGACCATCCCAATGCAAAGGAGGTCCTTCGACCCATGGTTTAATTTTAATCGTTGATACGCGATTCCCTCAAGACTCATTCGACAAGCAGGTTAAATTCACTTCTCCTTCTTCTTCTTTTCAGTTGAGTGTATCTTTTTGATTCCATGTGTCTTGAAAAACTAGCAAACGAGCTTGAACTTTTTGTCTGTTTAATTGTTTCTTGAATGATGGGTCTAGGCAAGCTTCAATTCTGCTTATTGCATCATGGAACGAGCTTCGATATTTTGTTATCAAATTTACCCTTTTTATAAGGACTTTCATATTTTCTTATCAAATTGGTTGATTATTGTTAAAAATGTATAGTACTGCTTAATTTACCCTTCTTTTGAGGTCTTTGATATTCAGTTGATTTTCAAGTAATGAATTTTTTTTTTTTTTTTGTGTTTTTTAAATTGAGGTGCGACTCTTTGCAAATCTTTGTTATAGCATTCATTTCTTACAAATTGAAGAATTTTCAACTAATGCATTTTTCTTTTTTTTCAATTGATCAGGAAGTAGACTCAATCTGTCTTGTTCGGTGGGCTTCAAAGGATGTGCTTTCTACTTTCTAGTTTCTATCCTTGTGTGGATTTAAGTGTGATTGTTGTGCTTTCAATTTCATATTGTGTTTGTGT